TGCTGAAGTTGTTGTTCTCTTCAATTGCTTTCTGAAGCACTTCTTTTTCATGCTCCCGTTTCTCAGCTAGCTGCTTCAAGACTTCTGCTTCATGAGACTACAAACAGACCACGCACGTTTTCAACACAGAAACGGATGAATGAGGACAACTACAATCCTGTTGCTTGCAATTCTTAAGAAGAGATTTCTCTGCTATTTTCCCCACAACGAAATAACTTCCTGATGCAATACAAAGCTCCCTAGTACTTTCTCCACCCCCATAGCCTACATTTCACCATTACAAACCACACAGGAAAGCAAATTTCTATCATAACTGAAGCCTTGACAAGTGGGATACTTCCCAGAACAAACAGTACGGGTAGGTCTTCATTTCAGCAGACACAGCTGTTCTTCTCAGTAGTGTTTGGTATGATGTTATGCTTTGATTTCAGCGTCAATAACATACCAATGCTTCCAGGTGTTGCTAAGCAGGGCTACAGAGAACCAAGGACATTTCAGTTTTCTCAGCTTCTCCTACCGCCTTGCCAGCAATGGGGCTGGGGGAGGCACAAGGGGCTGGGAGGGGACAAAACCAGGCCAGTCGACCTAAATTGGCCAAAGAATGGCTACTCCACACCGTGTGACATCATGCAGAAAGTAAATTTAAAGAAGGGGAAGTTCATCAGTCAGTGGGTGGTGAGCAACTGCTTGTATGTGACTTGTCCTATTTCTACATACACACGTATAAATAATGATCAGAACTGTAAGCCTTTTTCCCCCTCTTCCTTTTCTCATATCTTAAATTATTACTATTATATTTTTTTAACCTCAACTTGAGCTCTATTTCTTTTTTTTTTTTTTTAAATCCAATTCTCTCTCCTATCCCACTGGGAAGGGAGGGAATGAGCAAATGACTGCATGGTGCTCAGCTGCCTGCCAGGCTAAACCACAGCAGGATATTTGATGCTAACACCTATAAACTCTCCTACAACCCTCCTGCTTCTCAATATGGTGGGTTACTGTGATTCTGGTTGCACAGGAGACTGCAACCTACTTAGTAAGCCTCTGCACTGCTAAGGGCTCCAAACCACATCTGAACAGCAGGAACTTACCTCAAGTACTTTACTCACAAGGATTCTAGTTGCAGGTTCATCACTAGATATTGTAGAAGAAAATGAATCCTTCAGTTAAGTCTGTACTATTAAGAAAAGCTTCTTTCTTGAAACAGCCTTCCCTCCCAGCTAAATATCTCCCTGCTTTTCAAGTGATCATTCAAAACCATTTTGGGAATAAAACTTTGTAAAAACAAACCTGAGTTCCTAACAAAGCCAAATTAACATTCACAATGTAATACCAGAAATAAGCTGCTCACCACTCATCTTAAGAAAGAAATTGTATTTAAGAAAATCCCACTGCTTGCAGATCTCGCTTCAGTCTGTCGTTTCAAACGTACCTTGCGTCTCTCTTCTGCTGCTTCCAGTTTCTTCTGAATTTCTTCCAATGACAGATCCTTCTTTTTTGGAGGAGAAAGAGGAAATTCTGGGGCTGCCTCTTTTGAGCGGGGACCAAGGATCAGCTCAAACGCCTGCCCAGAGGCACGCTTTTCCAGTTCTTTCACTTGGATATCTAGGAACACACAACAACAACAACCCTCAGTGGTGTTTTAAGCCAGGAAACTGACTTGGCTAACATGAGCAAGCCTTCAGTAATTCAATGCCACCAAGCTGGCTTAAAGGAGACAGCTGCATCTGAGCCAATAGCTGTGCTTTAAGCAACAGCACCACTATTATGAAAAAAGAAAAAAGGCAGTGGACAATTTTGCCTGCTGTTCTTCCTGGATACTGCATCCTAAAGCACCTGATGCTACTGCAGCCTGAGGTATCCAGAGTCACAAAAACAAGCGTGGCAGGAATACAAATTGGGGAGAAAGAAAGAAAGTCCCTTCCTTTCAAGTGAGAAGTCTGAGGCACCGTTTTTATTCGTTAAAAGCCAGGAGAGCCAAGAACTGACAACAGCTCCCACGGAAACACACGAGGCAGCATTCTGCTCTTTGAAGACCTGTGAGCAGACACCTCAGCCCCGCGCAGTTTCCTTTTTGATCACCAAGCTGCCTGCATGACAGCTCTGCTGGCTGAGCAGATGGCACACAGATGAACTGCGTCCTATCTGCTAACAGCATGTGATGGCTCGGGGTGCTGCTTTAGCAGCTTCTCCACAGCAAGCCTAGCGATGGGAGAGAAGCACGGCAAAAAACAGTTAATTATAAATTTGGTGCAGCTCAATTAAAGAATAGTAAAGCGAGTGGGAAGCGAGTAGACGAGAACAATGCAAAAGAGCATCGAGTATATCATGCTCCGTACCAGAAGTAGCCATGACCGAGGCAATCCGCCTGCAGGAGCCAACAGGAGACCTTCAAACAGATAAAGTCCTGGAAAACAAAGAAACACGCGGCTGAATCGCTCGCGTCTTCTGGACGCGTTTGCGATCTGACTGCATTCGCCGAGCAGCAGACAGACGGGTCGCAACACGGTGTTTTTTTTCCCCTTTGTTTGAATCCACGTCCATTAAAACACTTAAAGCCAGCAACGTCAGCGCTCCCCTTCCCTTCCCCTCCCCTCCACCCCGCAGCACCGAACGGGCGGACCCGACCCCAACCCCGACCCCTCCCCACGTTGCATTGCCCCGCTCCGCCCTCCGCCAGCCAATCAGCGCCGCGCGTCGACGCGGAAGCCCCGCCCCTCCCAACCGCACCGAATTCAAACGGCCGGGAGAGACGGCGCGCGCGCAGGCGGGCGGGCGCGCGGGGGGCTCCGAGGGGGCGGAGCCAACGGCAACATCCGGGCTCCGTCCGACGCCCCCCCCCCCCCAACCCAACCCAACCGCCGCAGGTGCGGCCCCCGCCTTCCGTCTGCACCCCCCCCCACCCCCCCGTCCCCGTCCCCGTCCCCCAACCCGCAGGGAAAAGACCCCCAACGCGAGAGGGGCTTCGCAGGCGCTGGGGCGCGGCCGGGCGCCGCCCCTTCCCCAGCTGACAATGGCGGGGTGCTGTCAGCCGAGGGCGCGGCCGCCCCTTTTCTCCTCTCCCCAGCCGCCATCGGGGCGGTTCCCTCGGAGCGATCCCCCCCACCCCCAAGCCCATTGTCTCCCGCGGCGCTCTCTTCGTCGCCGCGACGCCCGCGGATCGAACGGACAACAGCTGGGGTTGAGGGAACAAAAGCAGCGCCCGCAGACCTCCCCCCCCTACGGCTGCGGAGCCGCCCCGCCGCGCTGTCAATCCCCCCGCAGCCCCCCCCGCAACCCCGCGCTGCGGCACCGCGACCCCCGCAAGGACAGCCGCCCCCCACCCCGAGCCCTTCTCCTCAGAGCCCTTCACAACGGCAGAAGGGAGGCGGCGGACACCACTCCGTTCATCCGCGGCTGATCCCGACGCCGCGCACCCACCTGCCCGCTCCGCTGCTCCGGTCCCACTCCGCTCCCGCCCGCCCCGCCGCGCACAAAAGCGCCAAACAAAGACACGTGACCCGCCCCGCCCCGCCCCTATTGGCCGAGCCGAGCGGCACGTGCCGTCCGGCGGGGAGGGCGAAGCTGGGGGCTCTGCGCCCCCTCCTCCACCGCCCGTTGCATGCCGGGAGCCGTAGTCCACGGCGGGCGGGCGGAGGCGATGCGGGGCGGCGACCCCCGCGGCCCGGCGGTGGCCCGGTGGAGGATGCGGGGCCGCGGAGCGCCGTGCCTCGCCTCCGCGGGCCGTCGCGGGGGCTGCGCTGCTCCGCGCCGCGCTCTTGTCGCGTTCCCGGAAGGCTGCGGGACTCCCTTTGTCTGCCGTCCCGGTGGCGGGGAGGAGCGGGAGCCCCGGGTGGCTGCGGTGACAGGGCTGACAACTCCGGGATGGCTTCTGGGCTGCGGGCCTTGACCGCGCCGTCCTTCATCCCCTATTGATGTGCAGCGGCCCCTTGGAGCCGTCGGTCACCTCGGGGCGGCGGTCGCTCGGGGCCGTTGTCTCTTAGCTCAGTCCCTTGGTTGGCCGGCACAGACCTCCACCATCTCAGCATCACTGCAGTGCCCACCTTTGGTCCCTCAGGGCCACTGCCACCCCATAGCTCCACCTTTGCTTTTAGAGCCCTATGGGAGCAGGCAACTGTTCTGGGGTCAGCCACCAGCACAGCACCTCTGCTGGGAGGTGACAGCAGCAGAAAAGCCATCCTGCTCTTTGGGAGACACGACACGTGTACTGCCTGCATGCGTTCCTCCATCCTTGGCTGCATAACGAGCATCCATTCCCTGGATAACACCATCAGATAAGAGCTTTGCTCACCAATGTGTGTTTTTGTACACGCTGTACAATGACCAGTGTGCGATTCCTATGGCCTGGCCATGCTGCAGTCACTTCAGCCAACACCAGCAGCCACTAAGAGGCAGATGGCCGGAGAAAAACACCAATCTGCTACAATGCAACCCAGCACAGCAGTCTTTGTACCCAAAACACCAAAAGAAAGAGTTTTCTGAGGGATCCGCCCTTCTCGTGCATAATCTTGAGGATTTTGCACCAAAAAAACAACCACCCTACCTTCAGGAAGGTTAATATTGTGACAGAAATGTACAAAGCTTTCAAAACAGAGATTATTTTAAACACTTGCCCTGCTTTTTTTTACTGATCTGATGTCTATTTCCATGGAAACCACATCCAGCCGCCTGGCTGCTGGAACTGGGAGAGGTTTCTGCTGGAGTGAATGGAAGAGCCATTTTCCAGCAGCACCGTTGGGCCTTTTGAAGGGTGGCAGGGATCCCAGGTCCCACATGGTTTGTCTGCCTGGCCATTTGGGATCATGCCTGGTACACTCACAGGGTTCCTGGCTCAATAGCAGCTGTACATCCATCAGTGTCACACACAACACGCTTGTTTTGTGCGAAATATCTCAAATGCTTGGATTAAATTGCACCAAATGCTGCTGGAAGACAAAGAAGCCAAGTAATCATGACATCAGCTTGTGTTTTGCTTTATCATTTGCTATTATTCACACAGATCAGTGTTGGATGCTTTAATATTAATGCTTTTCAGTACAATTAGCGAGCTTATCCTGGGATGATCTCAGGATTTCCCAAAGGAAGTAAAGCTTCCTGGGTGTTGGGCTTCTCCTTTGGTACCTGCCTTACTGCCATTAGTCACTGCTCCTCCCTGGAGAGATGATGATGAAGTACTGCTTTGTTGCTTTTGAAGAAGGGCTGCAGGCTGGGATACAACCACACGTCACGCAAGAGCTGTTTTCTGAGCTTTCCATCTTATCTCGTGGGCTCCTCGCAGGGACAAAAAAAAGAGAAAGAAAAAAAGACCTGATTGTAACTTACCTTCCTTTGTAGATCAGCTTTACAGCCAAAACCATTCAATTCAGCTAAGAACTTGCATACATAAGAGTCAACACAGTGGGAGTCAGAATTGGGATCCGCTCTCAGCCCTGACATTTTGCAGCCCAGGTCAGTTAGGCAGACTTTAGCAACCTCTTTGTGACACCTGCCACCCACCAGCGGTTCCAATTGAAGCCAAAATCTCCAAGCACTGCTGCAATACAAAGAGGAGTAACAGCCCTTAGCAGCTGGAGGAGCACGGAGACGATCTCATTTTTGGCCTCATTGCAAGACTGCTTTTATTTTTGGAACCCGCTTGTTTATGTGGAATTTATTTTTGTCAAATCTCTGCGAGAACGAAGGATGTGAAAAGCTTTTATTACATTTGATTTGTGTTTATCAACACTTTTAGTGGGATTCTAAGCAGATTCTTCTCCCGTCAAGCCTCGGCGTTCTGTGGCTGCAGTCCTGTTCATCTCCCAGGCTCCTCACCACCAACAAGAGCTGTTTGTTAGAATTCCAGTTTAAAAAGAGCATGGAGCACTCAGACTCCTTCCACCACTGCATTCTGCTCTCAGAGCAACAGCAAAGCCAAGGGCTCATCCAGAGAGCTCCCTGTACGTGTAAATGTGGGACGTGACGTGATTAGATGTAGCACGAAGATTAAAGAGCCCCTTCTGATGTTGATTATCAAAATACTCCACAAAGAGACTGACATAATTAGGTGACAACTCAGCCCACGGCAGCTCTTTTAACTTGCAAAAATATTTAATCTCCAGTGAGAAAATGTGCTTTGTGAGCATTGAAATGCCACGCTTAAGCACACGTGGTGGACAGGCTGACATCCTATATGTTAGTTGGAGAATGTTTCAAAGCACCTTTGTAAGTGCTATCAGCAGCAAGCACTTTCTGAGACTAGCAATGGTCACTGCATGAGTAAAGCACGTCCTAAAGCTAGAAATCCAATGCTCTGCTTGATCCAAGTCAATCAGAACCTGTGAGAGGAGACAGCAATAAAAGAAACTTGTGCTCAGGGTTAGAGAAAGGCTGCAAGGTTTCCCCTTTCCCTGTTTCCCAGCCTTTGCACTAACCTCCAGCAAGCCCCTGTGCACTTCTCCACGTGCTGCTGGAAACTATTGGACTTTTTTCCAATCAGACAAGGCACCTGAATTCTGTTGCAGATTTGCTTTTGGGAAATTCACTGGAACTTGCTTCATTCAATTCCCTCTCCTCTCCCACGGGGCTGGGCAAGAAAAAAAGCACAACAGCTGAGTTCCTCGAGATTCTGGCAATCAGGTGAGGTGGCTGGGGAGAGGCAAGAGTGAGGGAAAGGACCCAGCTGTTAATAGAAAGCAGAGACTTCACACTGGGTAACATTCCAGGGTTGATGGATTCCTCCATGACACCAGCAGTGCTGAGAACTGCCTGATGGAAGGAGTCTGTGCGTGGTGAAAGCTGTCCCGGAGGTCTCCTCGCCTTGCTCCGCTCTCCTTACTCTCAGCATCCTTTCATCCTTACATCTCAGCTTTCCTCCTTCTGCTCCCAGCACATATATCTGTGTTTCCCATATGGAGCACTGAGAACTTTGCTATTTGAGGACGCCTGCGCACAGCCCAGTGCTGAGGGTGGGAGAGCCATGGAGAGGGGCTGCTGAGAAGCCCTACGGCAGGCTTTATGCTGGTTTTTGTGCGTGTGAGCCAACGTGAGAGGCACTAATTACATTTCAGAAGTGACAGTCAGTCACTGCAGGTGGGACAGAGCAAAGGAGACAACGTGTTTTCAACAACCAGGTGGAAGAGAGGTACATAAGAAGTCATAAAACAAATCCAGTAGAGATGGAAGATTCCAGTAAAGACATTTGCTTTCGCTCTTTCCAAATGAAGTGAGGGAAAGAAAAGCTGGGGATAGCACTAATTATTCCCTGGTTCCTAATTAGTTCCTTGCATTTAAACGATGGTTTCAGCTCTCTCAGCATCTCAGCAAGCCCATTGTGCTATTAATACTTCCCTGGTGAGATATGGTTAAAAATACTCCCACCCTTTCACGACAGAATGTAGCTTGGAAGTGTTGTGATGGGAGGAGTTCAGGGATGGAAATCCTCTTAAAGGAGCACGAGTTCCCCTGTGTCAAACAGACGAGGTGGGCGAGCTGGTAGCAACCCCAGAGTGAGCCTGCTTTCGCTAGGAACAAACTCTGCAATAACACTCAATGCAGAGCTTCGGGCTGCCTGCTATCAAAGCAGATTCAATTACAGAATCAATGCAGAGCCCTATAGGGATGGATTTCTTGCAGAAATCTGCTGCCTGGGAAAATCCTACTTTGCCTTCCTCTGAATGGGCGCTGTAAGGAAATATCACCCCACACAGAACCACAGTGCTGTATGTGGATGAGATCTGTGTCAGACACCATGGACACGAACCATTCCTGTCTGTTTTGTGAGCCAAATACATATGTATACATACACGTGTGTATTTGAATATATACACACACACACACACACACTTTAAAGCATCTTTCCACACTGCAGTCCAGCCATGAGCTGCTTTCAGCCCCCAAATCCCTTCAGGACAATCAGTAATTCTCTCCCATCTCCATCAACAATTTGGCTTCAAAATGGGTTAATTCCCACTCCATCCCCCTGGCTCTGTGGGCTGCCTGGAATCACTCAGTATGGAAACAATACCTGCACTTAACATTTGCTCAGTGCTGTCTGATTCCTTTTTTCCCCCCACTAATTTGAACTCCTAATCAATCAATACATATATTAAAAGGAAAAAAAAATAGACCAGGCACATCCACTACAGCTGCGAGAGCAGGCAAATAAAGGCAGCCTTGCTGGCTGAAAACCCATCACTGTCTTTTATGCAATAAACCCAACTGCTGCTGTACTCTAAAATCAATACCCAGAGAGACATGCCTACGTTGTGACTGCTAACCTAAGTGCTTCATTTAATTAAAAATAAAAACAACCAGAAACCCAACCCAGGCCTTGGGTGCTGGGTGTTGTTAGAGAGCTGCTATGGACTTGAGGAGACAAAGGCATCCTGAGGCCCCGTGTCAGCCAGGATGGGGCTGATGGAGCACCTGTGATCCCACAGGGTCTGAGCTCAGCCTGTGCTTCCTACACTCAGGGGAAATGACCCCAAATGATCCCTCCACCGTGTTTTGTACAGCCTGAAACTAGAGAGACTTCACGCAGCCCTTTTCCTCCTCCAGTGCCTCGGTTTCCCTTCATCCTCTTTTTCTTTTTTCTGTTATTCAGAGAGCATCTCTTGTCCCATCCAGGGCCAGCAGAGCATCACTGCAGCTGCAATGGGGCTTCAGAGTGAAAACTGACAAAAAAAAAAAAAAATACCTGTTTTTCCCTCCAGGTAGCCTGGAAGCGATGACAACAACTCGCTTCTATCATAAGGGAAGTTGATTTTTCCTTTGAACTTCACCCGGAGTAAAGATTTGATTTGCCAAGGGAAAGAACAGAGCAAGGTGAAGAGCCGCGTGTACTCACCGATCAAAGGGCTGCGAGGAGAGAGGAGCTGGCTGGGAAGTGGGCTGGGTGCTGCACATCCAGGCTCTGCTATTCCTTTAACAAACACAAGCAAAAGGGAAGAAAAAAGAATCACGCTCCACTAGATGTTACGGTAATTAAAAGGAGGCTTTAACACAAGTCTCAATTTGCATTAATTAATTAAATCAAGCAGCAAGCTTCGATGGAACAAAGCTGGCTTTCGAGCAGCAGTGCTTATTGCTGGGCTGGGGTGTGTGTGTGTGGGTAGGAAGGGATGCATGGAGAGCCCTGAGCCTGCTGTGTTTGTGCTGCCTGATCTCAGCCCCAATCCTGGGAACAGCAGCTTTCAGAACAGAGCTTGCACTGCGATAAAGGAATGCACCCATTCACACCCTGGCCACGCTGCAAGCACAGCTGTGAGAGGAATATAAACGGGCAGCTGTTGGGTTATTTATTTATAAACCACCAGTCGGAATATGGAAGCAGAGCAGGCACAGTGCAGAGCTCAGGTTGAAGCAAGTCCCTCCCAACGAGGGTTGATCTCCCATTGAGCAAAGCCCCCCAGTGGGACCCAATAGACACAAACCCCCACATGTAAGGACAGGGTGACCGAGAGCTGATAAGCAGTTGGGTGCTGGAGCAGCTCCCAGATCATGGTAACCCTTAACTGCTGCTTCCTGCCCGCCCCCCCCCCCCCCAATAAAAAGCCTTCCATCCAGGTCCAGCAACACAGTGCACCAATCCAGCAACAGGGTGAGGAGCACCACCCTGTGCTACACCTGGGGATTTGTGGCACTGCTTGTGCACACACTGCTCCTGGCATCCTCCATTCCTGTCCCCATGCCACACTCCAGCCTGGAGGATGCCCAGTGGGGGGAATCTGGGCTGGGTTTGGAAGAAGCAGCACTGAGCCTAAGGCTGGCACTGGAGGTGGAAACAAGCAGCTTTCAACACACCGAAGGGTTAACATATTGAAGTTGCCCTCCAACCACAGTCATCCCACCCCCCCCTTCCCTGAGCCTTTACATAAGGCTCGTGCAGAATTTATAGCCTCCCTCAGCCCCGCGGAGCTGAGCCACTCCCTGCAGTGTCAGAGCACATCAGAGCAGTTCTAATTCTGGGAGGAAGATGGGACTTGATTTCTGCACCAGTCACTGTCTCTCACTGTTAGGTAGGACACAGAGGTGTGTTTCCTCCAATGGGCTCTGCAGGCAGTGACCTCAAGTGTCTCCTCCTCACCCTCAATACCTTGGTCCCAACGCTGCATGATGCTCCAGTATGCTCCCAGCACCAGAGAGGGTATAAATCAGTTAACAAGTATGTATCCAGAACCTCTAAAAGAATTGAGGTCTTGCAGCTTTGTCCATACCAGTCCTTGCTTTGCATGAAGATGAGCACTTCTGCTGTTGCATCTCCCCCCCAGAGCATCCTTACCTCCTCAATTAAAAGCAGACAAGGAGGAAAGGATTTGGCTATCGCAGTGGCACAGATGGAGAACAGAGGAAGGATGCTGCTCCCTCCCCATTCCTTTCCATTTCCCCTCCCTTTCCCCCAGGTTTGCCGTCTCCAGATGAGGAATAGTTCCCAGCACCCTAAGCCAGGGCATCCTAGCTGCATGCAATGCTATGAACCATGCCCATGGCTTCTCCCTGCAATGCAGGAGCTGTGGCACTGGGCTGACACTGCCCTCACCATGTGCATGCCCAGCGGGGACAAAGGAGGAGCAGATGGACACCACTCAGCAAAGCAGCAGCTGCTGAACAGCGTGTCCTGCTGCATCCCACCCCCACCGCCCAGGGGAGCCTGGGGACATCTGTAGGACCACCACCAGTGCAGCTCCAGAAGCACCAGGCTTCTGCTTGGGGACAGCTGAGGGTGGGAGCCACCTTACACAGCACTCCTTGTCCCAGCATCTCTGGTATTACACCTAAGATTGTGCCCTAGTTGCTCTTCAACTCCCCCCAGCTTTGCACTTGCAAAGTGCCCTGATCAGACTTTACCATCTCCATACTCAGAGCCCTTATTGCATCTTTTCTTGTGCTGGATCATTGCTTGAACCCCCCAACCTGCAGCAACCCCACTGCTGCAGTGCACACAGGGCCCATTCACGCAAGCAGGGCACTATCACCAAGGCAAGCTCAAGTCTGTGACCCCAGGGGTTTTATTCCCTGAGCTCTGCAGTCTCCAGCAGCCACCACAGGCTCTCAGGCAGAGAGGGCTTCGTGGAAGCATGGCGGGCATCATGGCCATATCTTGCAAGCACAGTTTGCAGGCCTCACTCTCCCAAGCGTCCTCCTCCCCTTTGGAGGCAGACCCCAAACATTTTAAACAAGGAGCAGCTGAATTCTCAGCAGCTGGATCCCAACAGCAAGCTACAGGTTGGAGAGGCGGAAAGGTGCTTCTGGAATGACAGAGTCCCCAATGCCTTCGAGGAGGTGGTCCCATCGAGCAAACTCCTCTCTCACATCTGCATGGGGCAGAGATGGTTTCAGGGTTACTACAACAATAATCACCCCGGTTTCATGCATAAGAGGAGCAGCCATTGTAGGAGCAGGAAAGAGACCAAACCAGCAGCTTTCCCAAAGACTTCCCAACCAACACTTCCCCATGTCCTCTGGACATTGCCACTCGTGCCCAGAAGATGGCAGCCAGGCAGCTCATGGCCATATTGAACAGGCATCATCAAACCAACCTCCTGCCTTCGCAAGCCCCATTTAATTCCACCTGTGCCATACCAAGGTGCCTCTGCAGGAAGGCCAGAGCCGCCTGGGTGATGATGTCCAGGCACTTGTGGGGGTCGAGGGTGCCCCTCGCATTGAAGACACGGGGGATGAGCTTCCCGGTGAGGAAGGCAAAATCAGTCTGGCTTTGGTGCACAGATCCCCTGGGGAAGGGAAGGGAGCGTGGGTAAGAGCCTCCCACTCCTGACCAGGCACCTGCCTCAGCCCCAGACTCACAGGATGGTTATGATCTTTGTCTGGCTGTTCCTGGAGCTCAGCCTCTTCATTTTGGCCACGCTTTCGGGGGTCTGGAACTTCTCGGCGTTGATGAAGAGCACAGGCTTGGGCACCTCAGGGTACAGCACATTCTCCAGGGGAAACATCCATGCATCCAGGGCCACCGCACACCTGGTGGGATGGGCACATGTGCCCATAGCCCCTTTGTGGCCTTCCCAGCCCTTGGAAGCATCCCAGAGCCACCCACCTGAACCCAGATTCCTTCACCAAGGCCAGCACAGCTGTCACCCCACCAAATGAATGGCCCATGACGGCTGCTTTAGCCAAGTCAATGCTGTCCTGCAAGAAAGACGTGCACCACAATGAAGGCATTTTCCTGTTTGTCACACAACATGACCTGACCCTTCCAGCCAGGAGCACCCAGGCCAGCCCTGCAGCCCCATGTACCTTCAACACAGAGAGGTCGAAGCCCTGAGGAAGGATGTTGGGGATGGATTTACCACTGCTGACGGCCCGGAAGAGCTGAAGTGCTCGTGCACACTCATTTGCTCTGTGATGAACCTGCAGTGCAAGCTGCCCCCATCAGCTGAGCAAACCCTGTGGGAGTCTTCACGGGTGCTTCTTTTCCCCACATCTCCCAACAAGAGCTCTCCTCTGAACCCCCAGCACTCAGACACAGCTCATTTCCCTGAATTACCGCAAGCATAAAAGCAAACAGGAGGCTGCACCACAGCGGCTCCCACAAGGGATGCAGTAAATTTCTTTGTTATTATTATTAATTCACTTAATCTGATACCACAGACCACTGGAGATAACCCAAAGCCCTCAAACACTCTCCATTCTGAGCCACAGCAGTGCTGCCAGAAGATGCTGCACTTCAGACCGAGGCTCTGCCCTCAGCTCACATCCCAGTCCTGAGCATACATAAAAATAACAGGCTGGGATTTAGGATTGCCAAAAGCACCTCCAGGCTCCGCATGTTCTGAAGTGGCTTCCAGCCACAGATCTCAGCTCTGTGCTTCCCTTTTAAACAAGACAGAAAGGAGCAGCAGGGAACCTCGCTCAGCAGGAAGCCCTCCTGCTATCAGCTGTGCAGGGTAACCCCAGAGAGACAGCAATGGGAGAGCACCAGCAGGCCCCCAGACCCGAGAAAAGGAGACAAATGGGGTAGAGTGGGTTTTTCCTCAGTTTACAAGGAGAAAGCTCAGGTTCAGCCCCAGTATTAATGCAGTACAGGTTTGGGAAGGGTAGATCCCCTAGGGTGGGGGATGTGATCCATCCTGGTTTGCCCATCCCAGTCCCTCCCATCCCCCCTCCCCTTACCTGATTGTTCCGAAAATAAAACTCCTTCTGTCCCTGTGGCACCTGCTGGTGGGGGATCCACTGCTCCCGGACAGCCTCTGCCGTGCAGAAATAGGTCATGGCAGCAGAACTGTCCCTGCAGCAGCAAGTAGGAAAGGGGAACATGGTGAGGCAGCCCTTTGCCTGGCCCCCATCCTTCCATGTATTTGGGGAGGGGTTTCCTCTCGAGGCTGCAAGGACTGTGACACCAACCTGTGCTCCAGCGCAGCCACCACAAAGCCCCAGGATGCCATCTGCATGCAGATGGATGAGTACACAGTGCTGTGAAGGGATGAGGTCAGGCCTCTGTCTTGGGCACCGGTGGGTTGGTGAGGGACTGCAAGCATTCGAGTTCCCATCCCAGCCCCAGCCCCCCCTACCGAAAGGCTCCCAAGCCATGTGAGAAGATGATCAACGGGTACCCACTGCTGCAGGGTTTGAAAGGTGCCTTCCAGCTCAGCGGCACTCTGCAGGAGCCTGTGAGGGACAAAAAAAAAAAACCACCCCAAGAAAAATCGAGGAGATGGGCAGCAAAGCACTGCTTGGACCCACTGCACCGACCCCAGCCCCTCTTCACTCCAGGGCCCGGTGGATTGGCCTTAAGCCCACAAAAGCAGCAGGTGTGGAAGACACGGGAATGCCTACGTGGGGATGGGGGTAGTGCCGCCCCTCACCGACGGCGATGCTGAGCAGCGGAGCGCACCACCGCCGGCTGTGGCCACTGACATCAGCCAGTCCGCTGCAGTACTCGTAGCGAGGGATCCAGAGCGGCCGTTCGGCTCCATCCCGGGGTACGCAGGGGTAGAAGAGGCGGAAGAAGAGCCCCTGCTGGACAGAGGGGACGGGGAACGTGGTGCGTCCTGGCAGCGGCCGCAAGATGTCCTCAGGAGCTCAGCCCTGCCGATATCCAGCAGCCGCTCCGCCCGCCCCCATCCCATACCTGCTGCGTATGGCCCACCATGACGTCCGCGCAACCCACGCGGTGAGGTCCCTTCTCCGGGGGCAGTGCCAGCGACTGTTCCCCTCCCATGGCACCGCAGCCGAGCCTAGGCAGAGCGATGCGGTCAGCAGCCGTCCCCCCAAACCTCCTCTTTCTCCTGTCACCAAATCTCCACACCGCGGCCACTCCTCATACCTGCCAGAAAAAAGGCTCCTGCTCCCCTCCGCACCTACGGAACCCCGCACACACCGCGGATCGCAGCGTATCCCCGCCGCCGCCCCGGCTCCGCGCTGCCCTGTACCCAGCCACGTGGCTGTCCCGAGCGAGCAAAGTCCTGCAGCCGATCACAGGTTACGGCTGCGCTTTCTCGCCCCGTGTCCCGACTCGCCTCATTGACACAGGCGGCTGTTAAACGCATCCCGTGCCCAATTCGCCCCACGTTCACACCGCGGCCGGACAGCTGACCCCATCCCACAGTGGGGGACGTGGAAGACGGGAAGGGGCGGCTTGGCCAAGCCGGAGGTGGCACATAAAGCTGCGAGCGAGGGAACGGCGCAGGGCTGACACGGGGACAGCCCCGAACACCGCGGGAGACACGGGAGGATGAGGTTCTGTATCGCACCCACGGAGAACTACAGCTCCCAACGTCTCCTTGACTGAGGACTACATCTCCCAGAACGCACCGGGTAACCGGACTACAGCTCCCAGCATCCCTCGCTGCACCACAGCTCTCCCCGCCCCTCCCTCACCAACCCCCCACCAACCCACCCCGCCTCAGCCCCCAGCGCTCCCCGCCCCGTCTACTCTGCAGCTCTCAGCGTCCCCGCAACACGGAGCTCCTCGAACTCCCAATTACCCGCTGTGCCCTCCCCAGCTTCATCCCCCCCCCCCCTTCGAGCACCGACGGCGCACCTCCCCGTGTCACTGCTGCAACCGCACCTCCCAGTGCGGAAGACGGTCCCCAGCTCAAATCACGGTTCCCCAAAGCCCCGTGGCGCTGCTGGGCTCCGCCTGCCCCCACGCCCTCCCCCCGTCCCCACGTTCCCCGTCTTTAATTTAAACCGCTTTCGCAGCCCCGCGCCCCCGATAATCCACGGCGGCGGGGGATTAAATCCCAGCGGAGCCGAGCTGTCCCCTGAGCCGGGCAAATCGCCAAAGATTTGGTTTAAAAATAATAATAATAATCCCTGACAATTTCCTATGCACGCAACCCACGCGCTGCTCCACCCCGGGGAAACTGAGGCAGGTGTGGGCACGGTAGGGCTGTGGCGGTGCCACTCCCGCTCCATGCCAACCGCTCCGCTCCCCGCCCCGCGTCCCCGCGGGCTGAGGCCGGTCGCGTTGTTACACCCACAGCTCGGTTTCAACGCCTGGGCTGCCGGGAGGGGTGGGGTCTGCGAGCTCCGGCCTGCCCGCCCTGCCCCGGGGCTCACCTCCGGTAGGCGGGACGAGGGTGCCCCACTCCCACGTGGGACGCGGTGATGGCAGCACTGCGGGGCTGGGTGAGGGCACGGATACACACGAATGGGCTCCGGGACCCTCACACAGACCCCGCCGGGACGGGGGAACCCCCACAGCCACGTGGACGCGCCGCGATGTCTCCGGGGCGCGCCTTTTTGGTGCCGCGGGCCACGCCCACTTGGACTCGGACAGCCAATGGGAGAACGGGGGCGGGGACTCTGTGGCGGGGGGAGCGGGAGGCCGAGTGACAGATGCGGCTGGGGGGGGACAACGGGGGAAGTGACAGCTCGGGAGGGGGGGAGCAAGAGCAAGTGAAGGGACACGGGGACGGCACCGGGGGGAGAGAGGGACAGAGCTTGCCGGGGGGACAGACAGCGTGGGGGGGGAGGAAACAGCGTGAGGGGGGACACGCAGCTTGACTCGGGGTGTCAGCAGCCCGGAGGGGCACAAACAGCGCGGCGGTGGCTGTTTGTTGGGAGGAAGACGGACGGGCAACCCAACTGATGAAGTGACAGCAGGGGGACACTGCCGAGGACAGTGACACCCCCAGGAGGCACAGCAAGGCGCTGGGAAGGGGGGGGTGCCCCCGGCGCAATGAGCGGCGGAACGCAGCGGGACCCCCTCCGGGGAGCGGGGCCGATGGAGTGCGGGGACCGCCCCACAGCCGTCCCGCGGCGGCGTTAAGGCAGCGCGGGGCCCCCGTCGTGCGGCCGCGTCAGGGATGTGGAGCCGGGGCTGCGGCACGGCCGGATCCCGCGGGCAGCATCGACCGAGAGCGGGCACCGGCGCCGGGACGGCGGAGGAGCAGCTGAGGTACGGGAGCGGCGGTGAGCCGGGGTTGTCTCCCGGAGGCTGCGGGGGGAGTCTCGCCGGGATTGACCCGCTTGGAAGGGAAGCGATCATGCGACCTCGCTCCCTCCCTAGGGATTTGAAGCTGGGCCAGACGGCAGAGGGAAATGTGACCGTCGCTGCACCGAGCCCGGGAGTGAAGGGAACGCTGCGCTGGAGGGGAGGCAGTGGGAAACCCACCGAAGGAGGATCGCGGGGTCCCCCATCCCCACACTGCGGGGCAGTGAGCGTCAGGAGCCGCTCCGCCTGGGGTCGGGGACACCGTTCTTTCCACCGGACCGCAGTACCCGTCCGAGCCTGATGAGAAGCTCGTGAACCTATGCAGACCAGGAAGAAATACATTTTCCTGACTTTCCTCGCCTCTTGGCTTCTGCTTTTCTTCTTTGGAAGAGAGCAGCTGCGTCGTTTTGCTTTCTTTCCCAGGAGGAACGTCGCAGCCCGCAGGAATTGGCCCCGCTGGGCGGATCGTGCCCTCCTGCACAGCTTTGCGGAGCCCAGGGAGCTGCAGGGCAGCGGTGACACGGCGCAGCCCTCACCCCGAGCCCTGCGGGCGGCACAGCTGAGCACATCCCAGGGCAGCCGGTGCCGCATGGAGAGCTGCTTCGACGCCTCCCGCTGCCAGAATGGCTTCAAGGTGTTCACGTACCCGCGGGAGCACGGTGAGCCCATGTCGGAGAGCTACAGCAAGATCCTCACCTCCATCGAGAGCTCGCGTTACTACACCCCGCGTCCCGAGGAAGCCTGTCTCTTCGTGCTGAGCATCGACACGTTGGACCGCGACCCCCTCTCTGCTCACTACATCCGCAGCGTGGAGCAGAGGATCCGCTCCTTCCCCTTGTGGAACAGCGGCCGCAACCACCTCATCTTCAACCTGTATGCGGGCACTTGGCCCAACTACACCGAGGAGCTGGGTTTTGACATCGGCCACGCCATGCTGGCCAAGGCCAGCTTCCACAGCAAGAACTTCAGGCCCGGTTTTGATGTCTCCATCCCCCTCTTCCCCAGGGAGCATCCGCAGCGCGGCGGGCAGAGCGGGTGGCTGCACCACAACTCGGTGCCCCCAAAAAAGAAATATTTGCTGGTGTTCAAGGGGAAACGTTACCTGACTGGGATCGGCTCCGGCACCAGGAATGCTCTGCACCACATCCACAATGGGAGGGACATCGTGTCGCTCACCACCTGCAGGCATGGCAAGGACTGGGAGAGGCACAAGGACACGCGCTGCGACCAAGACAACGTGGACTATGAAAAGTGAGTGGGATGGGGCTGGGGCCAGGTGGGGGGAGAGGCTCTGTAGGTGTGCATAGGGAATGGGGACAGTCTGGGGCTCTCCTGGTTTCATTTCCGTCTTGTAAGGTGGTGGTGGTTTGAGGCTGATTCATTCTGTATTAAAGTTGGAGCAATCTGGTGAGAGCAGTTCTGATCTGCAGTCGCCACTGCTGCTCCTAATACGATTTCTCTTTTTCCTAACACCGATGAATGATGCTTTTCTACTCCCCTCTGCTGTCCTCCCCTAACATAAATGTTTATTTTGGAGATGAGCCTGAAACTTCCCCCCAGCCCAGCTCAGCTCCAAGTCCCATAAAACCAACGGGTGCTTGGGCATCCTGGTGTGGACATCACAGTGTGGGCTCCTTGCCTGCAGCTTTGGAACAGCTCATGGCCACACGAGAACTGATGGGAAATATCCTCAAAGTATCTTAGGAGGTGCTGGGAGGTAAAAGTGGAGCCGGGGCTGCAGGCACTTGGATTAGCCAGGGCTTCAGGGAGGCTCAGGAGGATCAGCCCTCATGGTGGGGCCTTCTTGGGGACGGGGCGGTGGGACATGTGGTGGGCCAGTGGGATGGGACCTAAGGTCAGTCCTGCACTATGGGGTGGGAAATCCCCCTTCCACCCAGCCCAGGTAATCCTCTAATGCTGTTTGTGATACACGGGGATTTACACCTCGCCCAGGACAGCTTTAGAGAGCAGACTGATGGTGAGCACGTGGCACACGGCTGTGTCCTCCTTGTGACCATGTGTCTTGTCGCACTTGTCCCTGTGGGACACCTGGGTAGAAAGGCATCAGCATCTCCATCACACCCAGCCAAGGATGTGTGCAGATGTCCCCAGGTGGGACAGTGGCAAAGGGGCAGTGGGGACAGCACACCAGGGACAGGGCGCTCTGAGGTTTGGAGATGTCCCTGTTTGCTTGGGGACACAGGGAAGCAGCCCTGCCACTGAACCACAGGAGAAGAAGCCAGCCTTGTTCAGGGCTGCATCGCCCCCCTCACTCCGGAACAAACCCGTTCTGTACTGGATAAAGGGCAGTTGTGGCCATGCCACGGTCCTGCCCTGCTACCGCCGCCTCGGGGAGGGCTCCCTGCAGCCGCGGGTCCCCCGTGGCACCGAGCCCAGCCAGAGCTGCACAGGGGCCGTGCAGAGGGAGCACGGTGGGCACCCGGCCCGGCCCTAACAAAACAAGGAAGCCCTGCCGGCTCGATTGCCCGGAAACCACAGTGCGTCAGGAGCTGAGTGTTTCTATCGGGAGGTGCCGGCCCCGCAGCCCGGCCGGCGCCAGGCTCCCCACCACGGCCGCCTGCGAGGGAAGGATGCCCGGCCATTGGGGACACATCGCGTTCCCGTGGGGCAGGTGGCGGTGGGGTATCCCTGGGATGTGGCAGAGGCAGAGCGTGTTCATGGAGTTTTTGGTCAGATGGGTTCTCTGGAGGTGCATTTTGTTCCTAAAGGTCGGTGTTGCTGACGCCTCAGCGCTGGGCTGGCTCCCTGCAGGGATGCTGCAGCACACACAGGGGAGTTCATCCTTACCTCACAGCCACCCCATCAGTTCCCCCAGCCTGGAGGTGGCCGGCGCTGACCCCACATCCTCACCACAGCTGGGTCCAGGGGACCTTCCCCTTGGGGTCAGCAATATCTCACATCGCTTTGGCCTTGCAATCCCCCCCATCCCACCCAGGACCCATCCTCTTTATGTGCAGGAACAGACAGGGTCTGTCCCACCCAAACGTCAATATTGGCTTTTCCGATGTGGTCGCAGGGCTCTGTGAATGCCTTTCCCTGCAACAGCACAGAAGGGGCTTTCACAGCCAGGAGGATGCACTGCCTGCAGCCCCCCCTGAGCAGTGCCAGGACTCAGCGCAGTTTTGGGGCTCGAGGATTTGGGTGCTGACTGTGCACTGTGCTTCATTGCTGGGGAGCGGATGGTGCTGAGCCCACGCCTGACTCCCCTTCCCCTGCCAGGTTCGACTACCAGGAGCTGCTGCACAACTCCACCTTCTGCATCGTGCCCCGAGGGCGGCGTCTGGGCTCCTTCCGCTTCCTGGAGGCACTGCAGGTACCAGGGGGCTGCGAGGGCATGAGGGATCATCCCCGGTGTCCCTGTGCTCATGGGGTCCTGTGCAGGCTGCCTGCATCCCAGTGCTGCTGAGCGACGGCTGGGAGCTGCCCTTCTCTGAGGCCATCGACTGGGGCAAAGCGGCCGTGGTGGGCAGCGAGCGACTTCTCCTGCAGGTACTGTGGTGCTGTCCCATGTCCAGCACCAGGGGTTGACCTGATTTGGGGTCTGAGATGAGAACCCCATCCCTCCCATCCTGCAGATCCCCTCTGCTGTCCGCTGCATCCGCCCAGAGCGCGTGCTGGCATTCCAACAGCAGACTCAGTTCCTGTGGGACGCATACTTTTCCTCTGTCGACAAGATTGTGCACACCACACTGGAGGTGAGCCTGGCCCCAAAAAGCCCCCCTGCTACCAGGACCACCTCGGTGTGCTGATGTCCTCACACAGATCATTCGGGATCGGCTGCTCCCGCACCGCTCGCGATCCCGCATCCTCTGGAACTCACTGCCTGGGGGGCTGCTGGCACTGCCTGACTTCTCCACGCACCTCGGGGACTTTCCCTTCTACTACCTGCAGCACGGTAGGACCCTGTGCCACAGCATGCTCTGTGTGCCCAATGCCTGCTGCCACACCTCTCCTTTTCCCCCACATTGCAGGCTCTGGCCCTTCTGACAAGTTCACAGCACTGCTCCGGGCTGATCCCCCGCTGGGTTCCCTCTCCCAGCCCACCCTCAAGCTCATCCAGGCCGTCTCCAAGTCCCAGTACTGTGCGCAGGTGGGGAGGGATGGGGCTGGGAAGGGCCAGGGTGGGATTGGGGTGGGAGGGGGTTGGCAGTGATCGTGTCACCCTCAATGTCCCCTGCTTGCAGCAACAACTGGACCACTTATGGTTTTATTCTGAGGCTGGTCCAAATCCTGGTGTAATGTTTTTGGGATGAAAGAGGTGCAGCCCGATGTGGAGAGTGGGCTGGAGATGGTCCCACAGCAGGACCAAGAGGGTTCAGCCTCAGCTGCCTTGCAAACACTGATAACAGACTCCAGGGAATGCCCCTCCACTGTGCCTTTCCCCCCTCCCAAAGATCCTGGTGCTGTGGAGCTGCGAGAAGCCGCCACCTCCAAGTGGGATGTGGCCACAGACTGCTGTGCCTCTCACCATCATCCAGGGCAGGACGAAGGTACACAGAGCAGGATGCAGGGAGCTGGGGTACACAGCCCACAGTACATCCCATATTGAACTCCCACCTCTGCTGCAGCTCAGCGACCGCTTCTTCCCATACGCAGCCATTGGGACGGACGCAGTGCTCAGCCTGGATGAGCACACCAGCCTCTCCACCAGCGAGGTGAGCACTTCCCAGCCCCATGGATCTGAGCAGGATGTGTGGTGGTCACTGCAGAGCTGGCAGGGAGTGCTGTCCCCATATCCCAAAGCTCAGGGACAGGCAATGGGGCAGCCATCAGCCTCCTCTCACGAGTCTCTGTGGGTTGAGATTATGCCATCCCCTGTCCTTTGCAGGTGGATTTTGCCTTTGTGGTGTGGCGCAGCTTCCCTGAGCGCATCGTGGGCTTCTCTGCATGGAGCCACTTCTGGGACCCCCAGCAGAAGCGCTGGGGCTACACCTCCAGGTGGACCAACAAGCTCTCCATCGTCCTCACCACTGCCGCCTTCTACCACAGGTACCTGGGTGGATGGGGAGGGCCCTGTGGGGCTGTGAGGCTGAAGCCTGCCCTCCTCATTCTCCACAGGTATTACCACAGCCTCTTCACGGAGTACCTCCCCGCGGGGCTGCGGGAGCTGGTAGACAGACTGACCGCCTGCGAGGACATCCTTATGAACCTGCTGGTGGCTGCTGTCACCAAGCTGCCTCCCATCAAGGTCACGCAGTGGAAACAGCACAAAGAAGCTGCAACTCAGCCGGTAGGATGGCATCCTGAGCTTCAGAGACACCCCAGCTGGGGGCACAACCCTTCACCCTGCATTCTCCTCCTGCCCAGGTGAAGGACACGGCGGCAGGCAGCACCCGGCGTTTCTCCCAGCAGCAGGATTGCCTCAACCAGCTGGTGGACTGGTTTGGCTCCATGCCCCTCGTGTCCTCCCAGCTGCGCCTCGACCCAGTGCTCTTCAAGGACCAGGTCTCTGTCCTGCGCAAGAAATATCGCTACTTGGAGAAGCCCTGAGCTCAGCTGTGCAGCCCAAACCCCTGCACAGACCTTGCAGGGCATGGCACAGCCCTTCTGGACCAAGCACAGCCATGGGGCTTTATTCCTGATTGGGTTTTACCAGTACAATAAAGATCAGTGGAGGTGCAAAGTCAAAGTACTGTACCCAGCAATGGCACAGCACTGTGCCACTTCTCACAGCACCTCTGGGCTTAGCAATCACTGCTATGCTCCCGTGTTTGAGCCCCGAGCAGCAGCACAGCATCAGGAGCTGCATTGTGGCCGCGGGTGCCCCATAGCCATCCCTGCCCCACACACTGCAGGGCCACCTCCCCGTCCCTGTGTTCCCGTGTTCCCGTTCCTGCCACCATCCCCATTCCGCCAGCAGCTGGCCGGGAGGGCTGAGCTTCCCAAAAATAAACAGAGCAGCGATAAGGGGTGAGAGCAGGGCGAGCCGGTCCTCCCTCCCCCAAACAGGACAGCGGGACCGGGGGCTCCTCCCTCTGCACCCCCGCATCTCGCTCTCCCCCCAGCGCTCCTCAAAGCTGGAGGGAAAAAAACCCGTTGTTTCAGATGCTTTTCTCAACTAAAATAGTGATAAACGAAGCAAGCTTTGCCTCCCTCCCTCTCCCCCCCCCCTCCCCCCCCGCCTCCTCCTGCAGCCCTGGCTCTGCTTTCCCTGCCATCACTCCCGATAAAGCCCCGCTGCCTCCAGACTCAACATCGCCTATCCCGAAGCCGTCCCCCGCGAGCACCCGGCGCTGCTGTTTGCTGGCGTTTATTTTCCTCGTATTAAAAAAAAAAATTGGTGGGGAGAGGGACGGGGAGGAACGGCGGAGCTCAGCGTCGCTCAGTCGCTGGGAGGCTGACACTCACGGCAGTCCCGCATGTCCTCGGAGTAGCTCTCGATCTGGATGGTGGTGGTGTGGAAACGGAAGGCGCGCTGCAGCCGGGAGCTGGCCTCCTCCAACACCTCCTGCGAGTCGGCACCCGCATCTGCAAGGAGCCCGGAGGGGTGTTGGGGGCCGGGGAAACCCATCGCGTCCCAGCTCCCTCCCCCCGCCCTGCATCCCGCAGCACTCACTGATGGCGATGTGCACAGAGAGCAGCGGCTGGGAGGCTGTCAGCGCCCAGATGTGCAGGCTGTGCACCGCCTCCACGCCGCCCACCGCCAGCAGCGTGTCCCGCACCGCGTTGAAGTCCATCCCCCTGGGGGTGCCTGGAGGGACGCGGGGTGGGATGGAGACAAAGCACCCACGGGAGGGGGGGCACATATCAACAGCCCCCGGGGGGCTCCCTACCCTCCATGAGGACAAGGAGGACGTCGCGGAGGATGGTCAGCGTTGTCCCCAGCACCAGCACGGAGAAGAGGAAGGTGCAGATGGGGTCCACATACTTGTATTCGGGCTGGGGGGGGGTGGGAGCAGGTGAAACCCCCCCAAGTGCAGCCAAATCCGCACTGGCACTCAGCCCCATCTGACCTCACGGCTGGACAAGCCCACGTCCCCCATGTCTCCCTCCCCTCCAGACCTTAAAGAAGATGATGTAGGATGCAATGAGGACGCCGACGCTCTGCAGCAGATCCCCCACCACGTGGACGAAGGCTGCACGGACGCTGGGATTGGGCTGTTCATGGGTGTGGGGCTGCTCATGAGCCCCTCCATGGCTGTGCCCGTGCCCCGTTTGGTGCAGAGCTGCTCCCATCCTGCAGGCAGGGCAGCGGTGACATCCCCTGGCCACCGACCTCCTGCCCAGGGGGTGACAGCACATCATACGTACACGATGTTGACGGCCACAGCGCAGGCAGAGGTGATGAGCATGACGCTGCCCTCGATGTCGTAGTCACCCAAGAGCAGGCGTTGGGCCGCCAGGTACACCAGGACACCCGTCACCACCCAGATGGACAGCACGGAGAGCAGGGCCCCCAGGATCTCTGCAGACAGCCCTCAGATGTCACTGTGCCCTGGGGACGGCACGCAGTGGGGCTGCAGCAGGATCCTGAGGTTACCTGCACGGTGCCAGCCAAAGTTCATGGTTTTGGTGGCGGGACGTGAGGACACCCAGAGGGCAAAGAGGCTGATCATGATGCTGGCAAAGTCCGTCAGGAGGTGGGCAGCGTCCGTCAGGATGGCCAGGCTGTGGGCCAGGTACCCGCCTGCAGTATGGATGGGAGATCCCCATCCAGAGCCAAACACAGACTGGGTCACCTCACTGCAAAGCACGGAACCCTGCCCCATTGCACAGATCAGAACAAGAGGGGCCATGCAGGGCAATACGTTCACCCAGCACTCGCTCACCCACAGCTTCCCCCACCATGAAGATGAGGCAGATGCCAGCAGCCACATAGAGCTTCCTGCGCGCCCGCTGCTGCTGGCGGGGGTCACTGCCAGCCCCCCCCGCATGGCAGTGCCGGCGGTGCCGTGCTCTCAGCTCCAGGGTGGGCGCCTGGCCCTGCGCCGAGCCCGCTGCGTGCTTCTGTGCCATGCCCAGGTAGGACCTGCGGGGACGGGTGACATCGGGACACCCGGCTGGGGGACGGGGAGAGGGGGGGGAGGAAGGAGGAGGGGACCTGCAGCCCGCTCTTTGCATTCAGCCCTGCTCCTACGCGTCCCCTTCCCCAGGTCCTCTCCCTGAACGGACGGCTTTGGCCACGGGGATCCCATCCAGGAGCCCCGTGAGGGTACACGCAGCCCCTCCGCGCACCCCCTTACCTGCCCGTGCCCTCGCCCAGCAGCTGCTGCTTCTCCCCTCCGCCCGCTGCCATCCCTCGGAAGCCGGCGCTGGTGACCCCGGTGCGGGTCCTGCGCTGGTGGCAGCTGCGGTCGCGGCCGTGTGGAGCGGCGGGACCCGTGTGCAAAGCCAGGCCGGGGGAGGAGGGCCAGGCCGGCTGCAAAGCGCCTGCTGAGCCTCGCCCCGGGCTGGCCGTGCCGCAGCCCGCAGCCGGGGGGCTCTCGGTGTAACGGGGGGCTGCTCCCCACGTGCATCCCAGGGGCACATCGTATGCTGCATGCAGGATGTAGCTGCACCCCTCAAGGACAGGGCTGCATTGACCCCCCCCGTGCGCTCCCTTCCCACTATGGGAACCTTGCTTTCCCCCAATTTAAATCCAGCTGGGCAGGTGGATCTCACCTGGGATCTGTGGTTGGACACCCCCATAGCAGTGACTGCCCCCCACTGCCTCCAGGGACAGCACTCATTGCTGTGGGGCTGACTGCAGTCACGGCACAGCACTGAGCACTGCTTTCAGCACTGCCTCAGTTTACTCTCGACCCCAAGCCGGGTTTATGTTGCCATGGGAGAACCCAACTGTGCTGTGATTTTGGACCCATGTGAGCTCAGTTCCAAGCTGGCCCCTTTTGGGGCTGGCAGAGTCTGGAGTGCTGTCACCCCACATCCCTGAGGCTGGGTAAGCACTGGGATAAATCTTTCCGGGTGCTGACCTGTCACATCCCGGGAGTGTGGCCAGCATGGGATGCCAGTGCCACCGGAGGTGTTAATTAGGCTGAGAATCAGGCACTGGTCCAAAACCAGGGAACCCTCCCACATCCCCAAACCCATCACAGGGTCGAGTGAGAAAATGAGAGGTGAGGGGGGGGAGAAAAAAACGCCAGAGCACTGGTTTTCTGTACAAAATACACAACTCCATTACAATTATATACAAAACAAGGAACATATAAAATGTGCGGAATAGTCCTCTTGGCACCCGTATAGAAAAGTGTCCTGTACTGGAGCTGGATGGCTGGCCCCATCAGTGTGTCCCCAGGTTCTGTCCTGGACATCCTGCGTCCTACTGGGGGGCTGCAGAAGGAGAGGGCAGTGAGGGGGACTTCATCAACCCTCCATCATCCCCTCTGTCTGTGGGGGTTCCACCGTGATGCTGGCGATGCTGGCACAGAGAGGCCCTACCTGCCGCTACTCTTTCAGGTTCTGTGTCTCCTGTGTCTTCTTCCACCTCCTCATAGAACTCATCCTCCTCATCTGTAAATGGGCACCAGATGTCAGTGAGGGGCAGCTGCTGAAGGACCCTCGTTTCCAGGTCCCAGAGGGGTTTTTGGGGTAGGATTACCTGACTCAAAGTCCAAGGCGTGGACGGCATCGGTGAGGTGCTCAAGATTGACTGTGAAGGCATCCATGTTCTCATAGCCTTGCTCAATCTTCTCCAGCCTGCCGCCCTTGGAGGCCTCCACAATCCTGGGGGAGGGAGCACAGCAGTGGTCCCACAGCCCCGAGCGTAGAGCAGAGCCATATGGTCCACACCTGGCAGAGGATGGGGATCCCCCAGCTTCCCCCAGTTTGGGCACTTACGTTTTAATGAGCTGCTTGGCATTCTGTGGGATTAAGAGGAAAAGTGAGGGTGGCAGAGCAGCAGCAGCCAGCACGTCCCTGTGCCACCAGGACGTGGCACAAGGGGTTCCCTATAGGAAGCGAGGGCTTTAGGGCTTGAGGATCTCACCATGAGGAAGGCGGCCCCGTCGGTCTCCTCCATGGCCTGGACGGCCGTCTCTACCAGCCGGCTGGACTTCTCTAGCTGCTCCTTATACTTCTGGATGAGGCCCTGCACAAAGCCTGTCTTGTCCTCCTGCTCACGGGTGATGCGTCCCAGCAGCTCCATCTTCTTCTCCTCCAGCAGCGCTGCAAATGCATCAAAACGTGCACAGAGCTCCTGCTTGGCTGCCTCGCTGTTCTCCTGTGGGGACAAAGCCGTGTCCTTCCAGCTCCTATGTCCTCTGCTCAGGGGCTGGCTCCCCCAGCACTGGGTTTTGGGGTCTATATTTCCCTGTCCCTCACCTCAGTGCTGCGGCAGGAATCCTCCAGCTGGGAAATGATGGTCTGGATGCGGTCGTTCCCTGCCACTAGCATGGAAATGCAGTTGTTCAGCTCGCTCTGGTCAGGGACAGATGGACAGAAGCAGCTTTAACTCCTGCAGGGCAGGGATGGGTGCTGCCAGGATATCACCGTCCATCCCCCATCCCACAGGCTGAGAGGGGGGGCATCACACTAAATATAGGGCTGTCTCCTGGTCAAAGTCAGCCCACTGCCTATTAATACCCCATGAGGCATCCCAATGCTATTTGCAGCCACCCTAGCTCAGCACATCGCCCAGTTCTGGCCATGCCCCACCGTGGCCCCATGTCCCCCCAGTGGCACCTTCTGGCCCTGGAAGATGCTCTGCAGAGGGGCCACTTCGCAGTCTTTGTGAGCACCGAAGACCTTGCACATGGAGCAGGTGGGGACCTCACAGGTGACACAGTAGATGTTGATCCTCTCATCCTCGTGCTCCTTGCACATGGGGTGCTCCCCCTTCTTGAGTGGCCTGCTGGAAAGAGCAGCCCGGCCATGATGACCCCCCCAGCATGATGACATCCCCGCCATATTGATGTCCCCATGGCGGTGATGTTCCCACCATGGTGACATCCCCACAGCAGTGACTTCCCCACCAATGTAGAACTACTGCCCATAACCAGATCCTGGCCCACGTCCCCCTGCACGCCCAGTAAGCCCAGTTTGCAGCAGTGTGTCATCAGCTATGGCAGCAGTTGGGGCCACGCTCCAGGGATGCTGCACAAGTTCCTAATTTTAGCCGAGTGCTGCTGGCATTTATTATTATCATCCAACGCATGACCCAGGCAGGGGCTCCAGGGAGCTCAGGGGGGTGACAGCAATTGAGTCACCACTGGGGGGTTCGCCAGCTCCCCCCTGGGGGCTGCAGCCACCTGCCACGTGCCTTCCATCCCTGTTTCCATGGCGCTGGAACAATATTTACAGTGGGGCAGGAGAATGGGGAGATGAACCCACATGTCTGGGTTGTTTAAAAAACATCACTCCCCTGTCTTTCCCCCTCCTGCTGCGCCTCTGCCACTGAGCAATGCCATCAAACCCCTCAGGCTGTCCCCCTGTCCCTTATCACTCCTTGCTGTCACAGGCAGAGCCTGGATTTGTCCCTCACACCCCTTATCTTCAACCGAAAGCCAAAGCTGCAGGGTGCCAGGCTGGGGGCAGGATTCGTTCTTCTGCCACCCCCCACAGGGTCCCCCTGTTCCCGGGGAGCAACTGCAGACCAGAATGGCACAGGCTGGAAGATGAAGATTTGGGTTGAGGGTAAAGATTTGAGTTGAGAATGGAGATGTCAATTGTGAGGTGGAGATTTGGGTTAGGGACAGGTGGGGGGAGAGCACCAAGCCAGCCCCCCAGTTTCTTGCCCAAAACAAAATGACGTGGCAGTCCCTATGTCCCCGTGGGACCAACCTGGAGAACTCCTGCTTGTAGATGTCGATGATGTTCTCCACCAGCAGGTTTCTCTGCAGCCCATAGACACCGTGGCGGTCCAGCAGGACCTCGTGGCGGCACGTAGGGCAGCGGAACCGGCCCCCCGAAATGATGCTGCTGCCTCGGCTCTGCCAGTACGGATTGGCAGCCTGGAGGGGGACAGGGACATCAGAGTGTCCCCAGGTGCCTGCACAGAGCATCCCGGAGCAGGGCAAGATCCAGGGGGGTCCTCATCTCACCTGGAAGATGTCATTGGCACACTTGCGGCAGAGGTTGTGCTGGCAGGGCAGGATCACCACAGGCTTGCTGAACATCTCCAGGCAGATGGGGCACAGCAGCTGCTTCTCCAGGCTCTCCATGGGGCTGCCATCGCGCAGGATGCTAGGCTGGAAATCCATCGGTACGGCACTACTGCTCCTCCTCAGAGCAACCCCAGTTCTGCTGCCGGAGCCCCTCACGCAGCTTTTATCCATCGCCCAGCAGTCACGTGGAGCTGGCTCGGCTGTCTGAAGGCATCACCTGTCACATGGTGGTGACAATCGAGGCGCACGGCCGCAGTAAACAAGCTGGGGACATGCTGTCCGTATGGTCCTGCTGGGGGATGCCAGGATACCTGGGGGGGGGTTGGTGCTGCGTGGAGTCGGGACGAGGAAGTGCCAGGCTGAGGGTTTGCATGGAGCATTGCCCTTTGAACCCTCCAGAATGCGACCATTGTGGGGTGCAAAGCACCTGCAGGGCGGCCGATGGCTTTTTACAGAACCGCAATGCCTGGGGGATGCAGCACGTGCAGTTGGTGCATGCAGCCTCTCCTCCTCACGCTTCTCTCCACCCCAAAAATCCATGTAGCAGCCTGCAAGGAGGTCACCAAGGTCAGCACGCTGTACAGCCCGCCTGCCTGGCCGTGCCCCGCACTTGCTTGCAAAACCTGACCCAGAAACATCAGCAGGAAAACAGGAGCGTGGCCCTTCCAGACTGCCCCAGGGAGACTGCTGGGAGCGGCCCCGATCACATTGCCCGGCTGTCAGCTGGCACACCAGTAAACAGGGTGTTCTTTCAAATCACAGCACCAGTGCACAGGGAGACCTGTAAATATTGGCAGCTGCAGGGGAGAGAGGATAATTATAACACCTCTGCTCTGAGTCACGGGATGGGTGGGGTGAGGTGGTTGCTCTGTTCCCCACAGAGCCTATGGGCAGGAGGTGCTGCAAGTGTCCAAAGGGACAGGTGGTGAGATGCTGGGTTATGTGGGTGGTGGATGCACAGTTATGGGCACACAGAGGCACAGATGCATAGGTATATGGGAACAGGGATGCACAGGTGTCTGTCTAGAGGGGTGTAGGAGTGCACAGGTGCATGGGTGCACAGATAGACGAGTGCATGAGTGCACAGGTACATGGATGCATGAACATGCGGGTACAGGGGTACATGAGTATGAGGTGCAATTTAGGTGCATGGGCACACAGGTTGCAAAGGTACACAGATGCATGGGCACATGGGGTATGCGACTACAGGGACACGTGGGCACACAGCTGCATGATTACACTTGTGCACAGGGACACAGGCTCATGGCTGCATGTTGCAGGGACGCTGATTTAAGGGACCACCTCCCCTACAAAGACAGGCTGAAGGAGCTGAGCATGTTCAGCCTGGAGAGAAGGCGGCTGTGGGGTGACCTCACTGCATCCTTTCAGTACCTAAAGGGAGCCTACAAACAGGAGGGGAATCAACTCTTGGAAAGAGGAGATAACAGCAGGACAAGGGGAAATGGTTTGAAGTTGAGGGAGGGGAGATTGAGGTTGGATGTGAGGGGGAAGTTCTTTGCTATGAGAGCGGTGAGGTGCTGGAACAGCTGCCCAGAGAGGCTGTGATGCCCCGTCCATCCCTGGAGGTGTTCAAGGCCAGGTTGGATGGGGCCCTGGGCAGCCTGGACTGGTATTGAATGTGGAGGCTGGTGGCCCTGCCTGTGGCAGGGAGTTGTAGATTCATCATCCTTGAGGTCCTTTCTAACCCTGTCCATTCTGTGTTTCTGTGACTTTGCCACAGATGCCCCCCCCAGGGAGGGACAGCCTGTGGCTGTTCCAGACGCTCCTTCCAGGAAGGCTCTCACATGTCAACCAAGTGACCTCGCTGAGGCTGGCCAAGCACATCTTGCAAAATTGTCCCCGTTTTGGCACTGGGAGCCCTTCCAGGGAGCTTTGTACACTGAGAGCACATGGGGGAGAATGAGGGGGGGGGTGACCACCGGATGCACACTTGTCCCAGTGCTGGCCCCTCCCGTTGAACTCATCAATGCCGGACTCCGTGAAGGGGATTCCCAAGAGAGGATGGGCTGTAACATCCCAATCGGTTTCCCAGCCCTCCTCAGCTCCCGATTGGCTCCGAGCACCGCAGGCACGGCTGCCAAACCAAGCTGGGGCGCTGAGCTCAGCGTTGCACACACAGCAACCGTCTGCTCCCTGCTGCCATTGAGGACAGCGGAGCAACCCCGAGCTGCCACCGAACGGGCAGGTGAATAAATGGATAAAGAAACAGATGGGTAAATAGAGGGATAGGTAAACAAACGGCTAAGTGAATAAATAGGTGAGAGAGGGTAATTAAACACAGAGGTAAATGAATAGAAAGGCTGTCGTTGCAAAGCTGCGGTGCAGACACACAGCCGAAGTGCAGCAGAGGAGTGCTGGGTGTTGTCCCACCCCAAGCAACAAAGAAACAGATAAACACAGAAACAGACAAATACGTACATGCACACGTGGAGAAACGAGCAGAGTCCTTGCAAAGCTGCAACGGCCAACGCACACAGCGCTGTTAGAGAGCGAACAGAAGCAAACAAACAAACGGAAACAAACAAACAAACAAACAAACAGAAACACACACAACACAAAACAAAACAAAACACAAAACAAAACACAAAACAAAACACAAAACAAAACACAAAACAAAACACAAAACAAAACACAAAACAAAACACAAAACAAAACACAAAACAAAAAAAACGCGGTGCAAGCAGCCGCAGCTCCCGCCGCTTCCGCGGCCGACCACGAGCGCTGCGCGCATGCGCGTGCGCACGCTCATCTCTCCCACTTCCCCCCGCCCCCTCACCTCGCAGCCAATCAGAAGGCTGCGTGGCGGAAGGGGGGCGTGGCGCCGGGGTCGGTCCCTATGATGGCGGCCGGGCGGCGGCGGCGCGGCGTTGATGCTGAGGTAACGCGGGGCCGTGGCGGGCGCTGCGCGGTTCTGCCGCGCGTCACAGAGCGGCCGCGCGCTGAAGGGGCGGGCGGGAACAGAGCGCCGCTGTGTGAGGGCCGCGACGGGTCCAGGTGCGGCCTCATGGGCTGAGCGAGGCCTCGAGGTTCGCCGGAGCTTGGAGTGCGCGCGGTGCCGTCGCACTGACGATGCCTGTCTTTCTCTTTCTCTCTCTCTCTCTTTTTCTCTCTCTCTTTTTTTTTTTTCTCCGAACAAATAGTTCCTACCTCGCTGGAATCATTTACGAGCTCCCCGCTAATAACTCTGATGCGATCCTCTGTGTGTGACGGAGCCGGGCGCTGTGCGGGGCTGCCCTTCCTCCTCACTCTCAGCCTCGTGCGTTGTTTTCCTCACAGAGCATCGCCCCGGCTTTTATCCTATCGAGTAACTTGGAAGTCTGTTGGGTGCTGCTGCCGCTGCTGCCAGTTTTTCTTTTTGATTCTTTTTTATTTTTTATTTTTATTTTTTGTGACTGTAGGAGTTTAGTTGGGAAGTCATAGTGGTGTTAAAAGATCGGTGAAACTTTCTCGTCTCTGAAGGAAAAACAACAAAAAAAAAAATCGTTGCGAAATTAGAACGCAAATCTTTACCTATGAGGTCCTCTTAAAAGTCAGCTCTGTTTCATTCTGTTGCTCCTCAACCGCAGGTTTCAGCTAGAACCTCTCTGATAGCCCGGGTGTGGATGGAGAGCATGAAACAGTCCTGTTATTCACATAGAAATTCCCAAAAGACACTGAGAGAAAGGAGCAGCAGGATATGGGATAGCCCTGCCTCAGCGCAGTGCAATTCTAGGTTTGAATTGTTGCCTTCTTGAACGCTGAGCTGTGTTTGAAATCGTGCAGTCCCACCCAAATGAGGTATTAGGCAGCCTTTAACGTGGCTGCAAGCTTACGGAGTGACTTCTGAAGTATTCCAGCACAGCATTGTGTTCAGTGCGATGCTCAGGAGCAGCCCTGCTCACCACAGGGTGTTGGTGCAGCTGGCATTGCCACACCAGGCCATATGGGGGAAAACACAGCTCAGTTCTCGTTCATAAGTTATAGTTCTGTGGGTTTTTCCCCCTTCCCCAGAACCTTTGATCTTGAAGATGGTGAGTAGCCAGCCTAAGTACGATCTAATACGGGAGGTTGGTCGTGGCAGTTATGGTGTGGTGTACGAAGCAGTCGTCAGGAAGACCTCTGCACGGGTGGCAGTGAAAAAGATTCGGTGCCATGCTCCAGAGAACGTGGAACTAGCTCTGCGTGAGTTCTGGGCACTTAGCAGTATCAAGAGCCAGCATCCCAACGTCATTCACCTGGAGGAGTGCATCTTGCAGAAAGATGGCATGGTGCAGAAGATGTCACATGGCTCCAGTTCCTCCCTTTATTTACAGGTACATGAAGCTGAGGTAATGGGGTGGAAGTGCTTATGTGGATGTGCAGCTGGGAGGGAAGGAGGTGGGTAGCTAAGATGGTTTTCTTGAGGTATGCTTAGGTAGGAAAGGGTGTCGTTTGCTTTATTTTATGTCTTTAAAAGAGCTTATCTATTGAACAATCACCTGGTCTTTTTAATTTGAAGCCATGCCATTCTAAAGGCTCCAGGACTTGCTTAGCTAAGTTGGGGAAACACCACAGATAAGGCATGAGGAAGGTGCAGGCTCTTGATAGAGTCGTGCTGCAGGTTAGTGAGCAGTACTGATGTCTTGAGGCAGAGCTCTGAAGAATTTCATAATGTCAGATGCCTCTGGAAGGGGAAGGGGCTGTCTTGATATAGCAAGCCAATGTTTAACGCTCCCAGAAGTAGTAATCAATTAAGGAAGCTCAGTGAGCTGGTTTAATTTCTTTTTTGGGTAGATAACTTCAAAGAGAAGTGAATGTGTGGTATGTAGAGGAATAGAAGAGTAAATACTGCTATCCCTTATGTGGGGCTGTTGAAAATTGAGTTGCCTAGAAGTTGAAAGGCAAATATTTCTGAAATATACGTAGCTCTGGAAGGACCTGAAAGCTCATGTGAGCTTGCTAGGAGTCTGCCCCAGCTATTAATCATCCCCTGGCAGACATTTGTCTCTCTGGTGTTAAAAAGTCAGTGGCCTGCTAAACATTTGCTGTGTTATCCCTGATCAGCTTCTATCATTTCAGTTTTTATTGTTGTCATTCTTGCATGGCTGACATTGAACCTTTTGTGAGCGAGCACTCATTTGCCAGCACTTCACAGCTGTTCTGATCCTGTTGTGCTGGGTGCTCTGTGAGCCTGAGAAAGGCTTCTTGCCTTTGTCAACTTGCTGTAGCTCAGTCATTGTTACTGGCACATTGCCCCGAAGGGATTAGGGTGAAATAATACTGGTCAGCTCACATGGGGAAAAAGTAGTACCTTATCTTGTTGGTGGAGCTGTAAGATACTGCATGCAGGCAGCTGTACAGGGAGAAGTCTGGAAGGGGAAAAAGAGGGGTGTGAGGGAGGCTGCAGGGTGGGACCATGAGTGAAGAAGAGCTTCCAGGTCGCTGCAGCACCAGGTTTTTCAAGCAGTGCAGCATGCAGACCTTGCCCGTGTTTGTGGCACAAGTGCTGCGAGTTGTTTTCCTGCTTCAAAGAGCAGAGAAGAGCAAAGGGCAGAGCTGAGCACAGAGATCACTTGATGATAGCATGCGCTGAAAGAGAGAAACCCACGTCTCCCTTGGCTTGCCCTCTCTTCTGCCCACTCCAGGTGATGTTACTTCACTGAGCTGAACTGGTGCGGTGTGAGGAGGCCTGGGAAGGGCTGTTGGTGTCTCCTGCAGTGCTTCAGGGCAGGTGCTGTAACTGCTGCCAGCTGAGCTGGGCTCTTGTAGAGAGCTCTGAGCTGGTGTGGCTTCCTTGTGCTGCAGTCCCAGATCTGGAGGTGAATTCTGTCATCCTGGTGCTCCGAACTGAGACCCGAGCACAGCTCCAGTGAGGCTGAGTGGAGGGCAGGGCTGCGTGCTGGGGTCGCTCCCTCCTGTGCTGCGGTTCCCATTTTGCTGTTATTGGCTGTAAACCTGAATATGCAGTTTAAGTTCTAACACAGAATTGCTCTTAAGTTGGTTTGAGTACTAACTGTGCTCACAATTAAATGTAGTTATAATTTGTTACTAATTTTGCTCTCGGATGGGGGAAAAAACCCACTTCTTACAATTTTAATATGTCTCTCTATGTATTAATAGCTGTATTAACTTTTGAAGGCCTGTAGAGGCTGCATCTGCTTTAGTAAGCACTGGTTTACTGCTAACAGAAATAATAGCAAGTCTCATGTTCTGGAGTATGCGAAGAGCCACCTCAGAGGAGCTGGAAAGACAGATTTGTAGCTGTGTGAACAGAGAGAGCGAGCATAACTGCTGGTGTATGTTGCACATTGTACAAAGAGGCCATTGGAACTAGCTGCTGGAGTTATTCTCTGCTTATGTCCTAGAAAATAGCTAGTGTGTTGTGGTGAGAAAGGTGTTGCTTGCAGCAGCTGTTGAACTGTGCCTGTGGATTAGCATTCTCCTGAGCTAAGAGATCCTGTGCTAACGCTTGTTAGAATGCATTCACGTGTGAGGGATGGAGGGCAGGCTCCAAAAGCATGTGGTGAGGCTGCCTCATGAGCAGAGGACAGGCAGCCTCCTGGTGCTGTGCAGGGGTTCCTGGTTGAGGCTGTGTTTGTACTTGGAGTTAGCGAAATGGGTGGGACACTGTCCAGCTGAAACAGATGGGAGTGCAACGACTACTTGATAGCCTTCAAAAAGCTGTTATCTGGGGCTGGCTCTGGCTTCTGGGTAGGAGCGTGAGGTCGATATGCTTCACACACACACCAAAATAACGAGGCTGGCAAATACATTGTGATTTTTTTTTTTTTTCCTTTAAATCGGAAGGTTGACATGAACTTTTATTTTTACCAGTTGCAATTCCTTACTCTCTGGGTTGTTGAGAGGAAGATCCAAAAATTTATGCTTTTTTTTTTTTCCCCCATCATATCTTGATATTTTTGTGGTCATCAGGTAGTTGTGACACTTCTTTTCCTTATTGCAGCTTGTAGAGACCTCATTAAAAGGAGAAATAGTCTTTGATCCCAGAAGCGCTTATTACCTTTGGTTTGTAATGGATTTCTGTGATGGAGGAGATATGAATGAGTATCTGTTGTCTCGAAAACCTAACCGCAAGACCAACACCAGTTTCATGCTTCAGCTCAGCAGTGCGCTGGCTTTCCTGCACAAAAATCAGATTATTCATCGTGATCTCAAACCTGACAATATTCTGATATCGCAGAGCAGGATGGATGCCAGTGACTTGGAGCCCACGCTGAAAGTAGCTGACTTTGGGCTGAGTAAGGTATGTTCAGCTTCAGGACAGAATCCCGAGGAACCAGTCAACGTAAATAAGTGTTTCCTATCGACTGCGTGTGGGACTGACTTCTATATGGCCCCCGAAGTCTGGGAAGGACACTACACTGCCAAAGCAGACATTTTTGCACTGGGGATCATAATCTGGGCAATGCTAGAAAGAATCACATTCGTAGACACAGAGACAAAGAAGGAACTCCTGGGTAGTTACGTCAAGCAGGGGTCAGCAATCGTGCCTGTTGGAGAGGCACTGCTAGAAAACCCTAAGATGGAACTGCTCATCCC